CATGCAACAAATAAACAAATTTTAAACATGACGATTTAAACGATTGATTTTAAAAGGGCTTTAAGATGTACTTGAATTTAAGATTTCTCACGAAATCCGTTTTAAAGTCAAAATTAAATGGCCTGATTGAATTGGCTAGTTTTAGAAAGGCTTTTAAAGAGTATTTGAAATAGGAGTTCAAATGCTGCTCTGTTTGAAAGATATTTTTAGAACGTTTTATCTTAACTGAAATTAAGAAAAGCTTTAAGAAATTTAGTGATTCACTTATTTGAAATTATTGTTACAAATTATGAAAGTATTCTTTCTTATATTAAAAAAAAAAAAAATGTTCCGCAAATTTTAAGAAACCCCAGTAAGTACAAGTTAAAGTTTAAGTTACAGTGGCGGCCTCATAGGAGGGGCGTCACAAAATTAGTGTGGAACTCGCACATTCTCACTCTTATTTTAAGATAAGAATGGATAAATAAATATAAGGTTGATTCTGATTCTCAATTCTCATTTTCTACTCCTAATAAATAAACGTGCCATCATTGTTTCTTATGTTTGTCGCGAAGGGAACTTTGCCAGTGATATAAATCATCAACTTTTTGTGAACAATGTAGACTTTTCCAGATTTTTGTTCTGTGTTGATTGGTTGGTATATGGCGGGCCTTCGAAATTATAGCTTTGGTGTTTAGATGGTTTTACAGACATTAGTAACTTTCTGAAGATCGGATAGTCCATCTATTGCCTTGTCGGAATTTTTGCTGGTAGAAACTAAATTCTACCAAAAAAAAACACACACACACACACATTCTCATATTTACTTATCATGATTGAGGAATGAGAGTAGAGAATGCGAGTCAATCTCATATTTACTTGCTCTTTTTTGTCATGAAATGAGAGTGAAATTTGTAGCCCCGCTTAAGTTTAACATTAAGGAATGAGATTAGCACTCTCATTTTTCATATTCACATTAAATTACTATCATACTATTATTTTACTTATAAATATAAATTAAAAATAAAATAATAATTACAATATATATTTATTATTTTATTAGGCTAATATTATAATATTAGTGTAATTATTGTTAACTTTAATATAATAAATATGTACTTTATTTGTTTAATAAATTAATAATAATTTAACACTATTTTTTATTTTTATTTATTTTATTTAAATTTTTAATAATTTATTTTTATATTTTAAATAATAGTACAATTTATATTTATTATTTTAATACCCTATTATTACACTAAATATTTTAATTATTATTACTTTTAATACAATAAGTACACAATTTATTTTTTAAATTAAAAATATCAAATTGACTTAAAGGGTATATTAATTTTTTTCCAAAGATGTATTTCCGGTTTGACCTACTTTATGGTTGCACTCCGAAATTAAATTTGTAGAATCCGAAAACCATGGGTTGCACTTATAAAATATAATTAAATTAGTTAATTATATTTTGACCAAAATAATGGTAATTAATAAATATGAAAATATGAGATATTTTGATTATATTTATTAAATGAGAAGGTTTCGGTTCAATTTGTGAATGTTTTGACCTACCCTATGGCAACACTATATTCGTGGTAAATTAGATTATCGTTAGCACTTAAAATTAAAACATGATTTATATATTTTTCATGTGCATCATATATCATATTTAATTGTGCATAAATTCACATGTTCTGATATTCATGCACAAAAAAAATCAATTAGATGAATACTCTTTTTATTTTCAACAATATGTCTAATCTTATAATATCACTACTCGCGGCTGAAAAACTAGACATAAATAATTATATAAAATAGAAAAATAATATGCACATCCTACTCATCTACTCATATGTGATGAGTATATCCTTACTACAATAGATAAGTTTTTCAATAACATTTTGAAAAACGTTGTCGAAGGGGTGCCGTAAGTGAAATGACTAAAGATTCTCGACGACCTTTTTTTTTTTTTTCACCTGCTGTGTTTGATATTAACGATCCCTTCCATGAATCAGCTTATTGCTGTCATAAAAGATTTAATTTTTGTAAATCTTTATGTCTTGACATAATAAAAAAAATTCAGGAGTAAGAAATTATTGACAACATTAAAATGTTGTTATTATTAATGAAATCCAGGGCATTCGTTATTATGCTTATTGAAAACATTAATTTACAGGCCATTTGATAAATGTACTCGTTCTAATTTATACAAAAGAAAAATTTTAATTAATGAGTTAATTTTTGTTGTCATATACTTTTTTAGGGTTTGTCAACATTTATGTAATAATTTCTAATTCTCATGTTTATAGTTATACTAGAAAAAAAGCACGTGCAATACACGTGTTAGTTATAATACGGTATGAATTTAATTATTATATTTATTGTTTATTAGAAAAATAATTTTATAAGATAGATAAATGAGTTCTAAATAATCGCCAGAATCTATTAATTATAGCTTAGAATATATAGAGAGTTACGAAGAGGGAGTATAATAATTTTAAAAGATTATAAATAATGGTGAATATTTTATTTGTTATTTGAAAAACATAGCACAAGAAAAAGATAATTAATTTGTATGACAATGTTCTACATAAAATGCATCTATATCATTAAAAATAAGTTATGAAACAGAAACTTGATGAGAATAAATTTTAAATTTCTTATTAATATGAGGTTTTAGTCTAAATAAAATGATAAAATCATCATTTTATCATGTAATAGAAACATTATTATTTAATTTGACCCTTTTCTCATAGCCTTAAGTAAGAGAAAACAGTATTTAAACTAACAAAATGTTACGTAGTTTTCGATGGACGATGGTTCAGAAGTCACCTTCGACACATAATATAATTATTATTTAATTTAACAACTTTTTCTTAAGTTCTAAATAAAAAAATGTATATATCAAATAAGGAAAAAGTACAAAAGGTGAAGGGCTGGAAACAAAAAATAAATCATTTTTTCTTAAGTTCTAAATAAAAAAATGTATATATCAAGTAAGGAAAAAGAACAAAAGGTGAAGGGCTGGAAACAAAACATAAATAATTTTTTCTTAAGTTATAAATAAGAGAAAATAGTAGATAACAAGAAAATAAAAAGTACTAAAGGCAAAGGGTATAAAAGAAAATGTAATTTTAACCGCTCTTTTTTAAGCCCTAAGTAATAGAAAAGAGTAGATAACAAGTAAGTAAAAAATAAAAAAGGTGAAGGACATAAATAAAAATAAAAATTAAATCGTATTTTTTTGAGCCCTAAGTAAGATAAAAGAATAGATAACAAATAAATAAATAGTATAAAAGCTGAAGGATGTAAATGGAAATATAAATTAACCTCTTTTTTTTTTAAGTTCTAAGTAGAAAAAAAGAGTAAATAACAGGTAAGTAAAAAGTATAAACACAAAAAATAGTTCGTAGTTGCATGCTTTTCACATTTATATCATATAAGAGATTATATTCAAATTCAAACAATTTATGAAATTATAACGTAACACAAAAAATTATATAGTTATCGACAGAAGATGAAAATATATAATAAACTAGCGAAATTCATCAACAATAATATATATATATATATATTTTTACTTCTAATGATGTGGATCATAAATGAAAAACTCGGTACATGTATTCGAACTCAATTCAGTTAGAGTACACAAACTGGAAGTAGAAAACTTCACTACTCCGAGTTTGTGGGTGAGTGTTAGGACAATAAGGGTGTGTTTGGTAAGAAAATTTATACCCTGATTTGAATCATGGTTTATAGTTCGTTATAGTATTTCTTCTCATAAAAAATACACGTAAATCGAAAATTATTCTAATATCATGATTCTAATTTATGAACCAAAAAAAATTCTGAAGATTGCAGTTAATAACCTAAGGCCTTTTTATTTTATATACTCAAATTTAAATTATTTATTCTGTTAATTCTTAAAAAATTTAAATTTTAAACGTCAAAATAAAAAATTATGATTTGATTTGAGTATACCTTCTAAATAGCCCCTAATTATTTAGTACTCCTTGTATTGGTTAATAGTTAGATTGGTTGTAGAGTTTGTTAGTCACTAATTAGACTCTATTTTGTATCTAACTGTAACAATTAGATGAGTCAATCAGATCATTCATTCATTCATTCTCAGCAGAATGACCTGGTTTGGGTTGTTCTTTGTCTAGTATATATATATAAAGACTGATTAATGTCACTTTTAGTTTTCCCAATTTGATAGGGAATTGACGTTGATAAAATGCAGTCCTTTTTACTAGTGCTTATGATAATTTGCAGCCTTCAAATATATTACTTTTAGAGTTTAATATAGTAGAATCACATTCAAACCAAACATCAATTTCAAAAAATTTTGGAAGATGCAAATATTGAACCGTATATTCTCAAAAAATAAAAAATAAAAACTGAGCATTTTAATAATTTAGCCGCTCCTTTTAATTCACATGATCACAGAACAATACAGGCGTAGTGTTTATATGTATTTTCCTATTGTGAAATATTAGGACAAAACTATTCAAACCACTAATGATCAATACAAGTTATAAATTATAATCAGAGCAATTAAATAAAACAAATAAAAAAAGAAAAAAGAAAAAAGAAAAAGATTCATAAGCGTTTAGTTGGTAGATTCGTCTCATGATTTGAATTATGGTTCGTGGTTTACTACAGTATTTTTTCTTTAAAAAAAACACACACATAAACTGAGAATGGTTCTGAATCATGATTCTAAATCCATCAATCAAACATTATTTACCCTCTCATCTCGCTAATCGGTGGCGGTGGCGGAGTCATGACATAACTGGTAATCGTCGGTGGTGGCGGTGGCGGAGACATGACATAATTGGTGATCGTTGGCGGTGGCGGTGGCGGAGGCGGCGAAAACGGTGGCGGTGGAGGTTGTTCAAATGACACTGGCGGAGGCGGTAATCTTGGCCAACGGCCACGCCAATTGCGATGATGAAAAGTTATAGGCGGTGGTGGCGGTGACGGTTTACGGCGGCGGCCAAGTGTAGATAAGAAAGACACTTTCATGGGAGTTACTGGCCGTTTCGTTTGTAAAAGAGATGTGTCATTGCTTTGATGATCTGCAAGTACTGCTTTGGAAAGCAAACTTACAGAGATCATAATGGCCACTTTGAAGACAAAACTCATGGAGGTTCCATTATTTTGTGTTGCCATTTTGATCTTCTTTTATATGTTATCAGAGCAAGAATTCTCTCTCTTCTTTTTTTTTTTTTTTTTTTTTTTTTTTTTTTTTTCCCTGAGATAAGATAGATATGTTTGCTTTTGTATACCCTTTGCGTGTACCTGTATAGCTAGTAAGCTAATTTCAATCGCCTTTCTTTCTTCTTCTTGTTTTTAAATCACTTTTCTGGGAAGCGGGTCTGAAATGGTCAATTGAATTTCTGAAGAAGTGGTTCAAGGACATCTTCATCAATGTCTTAAATATACTTTGCAGAGATGGTTGGGATCGAATTGAATAACCGAAATGTATTCCAACTACCTTGTCATGAGATTTTTCTCTTTTCTCTCTGCACATTAATTTTTTGTGAAAACTAAGATAATATGTATCCTCTGAACTCACATCTTTAGGCTTCGTTTTGGTGATTCTAATTTTGATTTTAAAATTAGAATTATGATTCATGATTTTAGATCCAAATTATGATTCTGTAATCAGAACAAGAATCAAAGGTTTGAACAACCTAAAATCAAGGGAGTGAGTAGTTTTAGAATCAGAGTTGATTCTGATTTAAAATATGACATCAGAATTTAAATCTTAATTTAGAACCATTCAAATCAAACACTAATTTTGAGTGAGCCAAATTAGAACCACTTTTTACTAAACAAATACTTGTTTGAACTAGAATCATGATTGTAAATTTTAAAACCCTTATATCAAACGTGCTCTAGTGTTTTTACCATTATTCTTTTAGAATTGTATTACTTTTAAGGAGAGAAAATAAAGACAAAAAATGTTATAGTGTTTATAAAAAAATAATTCACAAAGTGTCAAAATTTAATTAAAAAGATAACCATTATAACAGAAAAATGAGACAACAAATAACGTATATCTTCGGGAGCAATTGGCAGCACAAAGAGAGTACGTACATGGAAACTCAACTCTAGACTACTTCCGCCGGTTCTAAGAGATGTTGGCTTAGTTTGGTAATGCTGTAGATTTTTAAAAAAAGTATTTTTAGCTGTGCTGAAAAAAAAAACAGCTGTTTCAAGAAGCGGCTGAGTGTTTGGTAAATTGTAATTATAGTAGCTGTGCTAGTTCCAAAATCAGTAAACAGCGTTTGGTAAATTTTGAGGTGGAATTGCTGTGGGTATGTAAAATGACCAAAATAGACATGATATGAAATTTAAATATATATAATTATTTTTGGTATTTAAAAATACTTGTTTAACTTTAAAAACACATAATGTTATGATTTTAAATTTTTTAACAATAAATTTATGATAATTAATTATCTTTTTTTTTAGTCTAATTATTACATCGGAATTCTTAGTGTTTCCTTTCCTTGGTTATTTCCCCCTCCCTCAAATTTTTTTATACACGTACTTGTATGAGATGATGAATCAATTTCTTTAGAGGAAAAACTTTGAAGATTGCAAATTTTACTCAAATGATAACACTTGTTTCATTGGATTGCTTAGTTAAATGTATCATGTAAGTTTTGATTAATTTGAACTTTAGGAGTTTACTTCTGATGGCAGAATTTGCTCACATGCTCACGGCTATGAGGCCCTATTTGCACCTTTTATCTTAAAAGTTTGTCCATGTACTTTTTTGTTATCCTTATTGTTTGATAAAACTGGTTATGGTCAAAATATGGCATCGTCAGGCACAATGATTTTAGTAAGCAGCAGAGTTTTCTTGCAACTTTGATCCCTGAAAGTTGGATACCTTTGTTCACATGTAATACCTTTGTTCATATATATATTATAAGAAACAGGAAAGTTACCTTTGCTAATTTTTTTAAAACGCCATTGTTGATTAACTCTGGCCATTCCCAGATACATCTTCTCCTTATATCACCTTGTTTGCTGAATAACAGAACATAAAGTATATACCTACAAACTTTACAGTAACAGGAGTAACAAAACCCGATACTGAAACAAAACGATCTTCTGTTGATAATGCTAACAAAGTAGAGGGTACATGTTATAGAAATACAAAGAACCAAATACAAAATACAATCCCTCACACACACACACACACACTTAAATACAAACATATATATCCACACACACGTAAATGCAAATATATATCCATACACACACCCCACGTATATACCTACAAATACAAACTTAAGTCCTACAAATACACACGTATATACCTACAAACTTAACTCAAATGAAAAGATTTAAGTCGTATTCATTAAGCTTACTGCAATTTGATCTCGTACTTCATCCATTTCCAGTGATAGTAAAGCTTCATTCTCTTCTACATTATTGTCATCTAGTTGATTCTCTTCATAAACGAAATCATCTAGATATGTAGATCACGCTTACGATGCTTCCTAATGTAGTTATGGAGCGCCATTGTAGCAATAACTATTTTCACTTGCTTTGCAAACGCATAATTTGGCATGTCTTTCAAAAATTTCCACTTTTTTTTCGAGACACCAAATGTGCGTTCAATGACACTTCGAAGAGAAGAATGTGCTTGGTTAAATACCTCTTTATAGCCAGTTGGTCGACGACCCATTCGAAATTATTCTAAATGGTATCGTTCTCCTCTATAAGGTCCAAGAAATCCTTTTAATTGTGGATAACCCGCGTCAACTAAATAGTATTTACCTATTGAGATACAAACACAAAGACTTAGTAAATAATAAAACAGAGTTCTCATGAATATAGAAGAGGTTTTAACCTTCTGGTGGTTTTGGGAACTTCAAACTTGTACGACGTAGTGCTGCTAAGAATATTCTTGTATCATGAGCACTACCTTCCCAACCTGCATATGCATATGTAAATTTCATATTGAAATCACAGGCAGCCATCACATTTTGGGTTGGCACACGCTTTCTACCAATAAATGGGACTTGATCTTCTGGTTGTATTATAGCTGGAATGTGTACGCCATCTATTGTACCTATACAGTTCTAAAAAGAAGAAAGTTCTATGTTTAAAATGAATACTTTAAATAAGGAAAGAAACATATTATGAACTAAGAGAATACCTTAAAATGAGGCATATATCTACGATCCATTAATATCTCTTGAGGCACTCCATTAAACTCTGGATCATCAGGCTTTATAACATCCATACTCATACGACAGACAATGTCTAGAACATACTCAAAATATCTACTAATTGTTTCACCAGAGTGTTGAAATCGTTCTTGTGTTGAACGATTTCCCGCACCCTGACCTAAAATGAACAAAAACATTCTGACTATTTCAAACGCGGATATATTTCTTGATCCCTGTAATCCGTAGTTACATTGCAAATCATTACATAGGGATATAAATACATCCTTATCCATTCTAAACATTCTATAACTTCTAATTTCATGTCCGCCTAATAATTCTATTACCCACATGTTTTCAGTTTGAGCAGAGTTCATACAAGGATTTTTGTAAATATACTTATTATAATATTATTCAATGATGTGTGCAGTAACACAAACAAGTTGTAAACTTAGCTGGGTAATATTATCAGACATCCCAGCTAATAATGAATAAACCTGCATGTAAACAATGTTCAAATAAAATAATAGAAAATATCAATGTCTGATGGATAAAAATAGAGTACAATATTCAATACAATGTATTCGAAAGCATGGAAAAACAACATTATAGTACATAATTAATGAAAGCCACACTAAAATATTACTCATAGTAAAGGAAGACTCAAGGGACACTCAAGGGAATTTAAGAGGATGATCTTAGGCCGTGCTCAAACTTAAGCTAGTTGAGCTGCAACTCAGGTCGTTTCAAAGCAAAAAATGACTCTCTTTTAATCGTGTCTGCGCACAAGTGGACAGCAAAAAAATACAAGTCGCTCCCACTCTCTAATCCAGGTAGAGATTCAAGGACTTCAACAAGTCGTGTCATGCTATAATCTGGTCCTTTACTTTGTGCAATGGATGATCCGGTACTAATAGTCTCCACTACGGTGACAAGACGCTCAATTTGTTGAGACAATTTGGCCGCACCACCAACTTTATCCTTGCCTTTCCCTCTTTTGAATTTCTTTTGTCCCTCATCTAGCTCAATTGGACGCTTCTTCTTAGGGTCCTGTGGCCTCTCTCTTCCAATAGGTGCATCTGACGATCCACTACTCTCAAGTTGTTCAAGTGGGGATATCATTTCATTTGCTATTTTATCATCCTCACATGGCATCTGTCCAGATGCGGGTGTCCAAGCATACACCCCTGTGGCCACAGTATTAGTAAACATCCTATTCAACTTATCCTCAAACTCTGGTTCAATTCCCCGCGTGCGAAACTTCGCTGCGTTAGGATGAATCTGTAAAAATACTTTAATAAATTAAACCTGCCACACACTAAATGTACACACTATCAATAATGTGCAACTTCATTCGTATATTATTCGTATACCTGCAATTTATTATGCCACCATTCCTCAGATGCATCAATAGTGTTCTTTTTATTGTTCCAACCTAAACCGGTTTCCTTCCCAACAAGTTCCTTCCAAAGTTTCCAATCATTCTTCAAAGCATCCCACTTATTCTTCAATTGTGTTCTTTTATACACTCGTTTGGTTGCTTCGTTAAATTTTTGAATTACATTTTCCCATCCAACTTTGTCAAGATGTGTCCCAGGTCGGTGTCCACCTTCAACCTCTTTGATACAAAAATCACAAAAAAGCTGTATTGCCTCGGTATCCCATATCGCTTTACCTTGTGCTGCACTACCCTCCATTTGAACAAATGATGACTGAAAGTGCTACCACCATTATAAACCCAACGCATATTTATAGATAATAAAAATAACTAAAGCAGCTTAAGGCTTTTTTAAGCAAATGATAATGAACAAATAGCTAACCAATATTTAACCACAAGAGTGTCAACCTCCATTCTTGCTAGTATTGCAATTGAATGGTAAAAACGAATAGAACGGTAAAAATAGCAAATGATCAAACAGTTTAAGCTGCAAATAAATAACATAGATAAATCTAGATATCGTCCCTCGAGGAAGGGTGCTA